AAAGGGACTGGAAACGCAGCAGGAGTTGCCTGTTTGTATTACCATCTAAGGAAATGCAGGGAACCATCACCAGGAGGGAAAATCAAGCAGCTTACTTCCTCTCAGACCATCCTCAGCAGGGACATTTGATTTGCTGTTGCCCAGCAAGGCTGCCCGCTGCTTTGCGCTATTCCAGGGTCAACTTTGCCTGTGCAGGCTCTAAACACCTGCCACGCACACCTGCAGCACCATCGGGGGCCCCTAGACATTCAAAGTCCAACTGTGTCCTCTTCAAGAAGTAAATGTGAATCAAAGGGTGATAGGCAAGAAGAGAAATGACAGCGGAAGAGCTGAGCACAGCAGATCGAAGAAAGGGCAAAGCAGAATATGTACATCTCCAAACAGAACCAGGAGCCCTGATGGCAGGGGCAGGGGAAAGGAAAAAGGCTTCATCTTGCACAGAGAAAGCACGTGAGGCATAAATAAGTATGACAATCCTCACAACCCAGAGTTATAGGCCATTTCCATCAGCCCTCCCTTTAGTTCATTGCTATTTCATCACCTTTGAACTCAAAATGAAATATCCCCAGTAACAAGATTCAGGTCATGCTATTGGGGCTTTGGATTCCCTAACAGGATGTGATGTGGCCTCGAAATTTAAATTAGGTGGGTGTTTCTCTTAAATCCTGTCTAGAGAATGGAACAGATTGTGAGATCTATTTAAGTCATTTGAGATGAATCTGGTTTGATGAGTAGCTCTTTTTTATGCCCTTTTAACTTGAAAAGTCATCTCTCAGCAATTTTTGGTCCATAAGTTTATTTCTACCAGTGAAGGGGTGAATTAAAGAATCCTTCCAAGTAGTGGCCTAAATGTTCTCTATCACAAGGATACTACTTAGAAATCCTTGAAGTACAAATCAGACTGAGTGTTGCTCGCTAGGCTGGGCACCAACAAACAAGCTTTTGATTTATTCTTAAATCCTTCTGAGATGCACACTTTTCTGTCATTCTGGTTTCGAGTTTAGTAGGTCGCCAGGGAGAGATTTGCCACTTGAATTCCTTCCACTGGGGGTTTGGGTCCCAACTCTGGCTCAGCCACTAAGGAACTGTGTGGTCACAAGCTTGGTTGTTTTCCCACACCATGTGACCTTTCCCTTTATCTTTGGGCCTCTGTTGTCCCATCTGTGAAATGAAAGATTGTTCTGGTTCCTTTCAGCCTTAGCCTATTCTTTTCCTACCTCATTTTTATGGAGTCACAAGGAAAATGGATTCTATCTCCTATACCAAAGTGTTCTATAATCCTTACATATTCCCTTGGAGCATTTTTTAAAAATATATAAAGCAAGAAGAAAGGTAATGTAATTAGCGATAAAGTATTTTGATTTACAGGAAGGAAAATATCCTCTGCTTCTAGATTTTGCTGGAACAAGAAGTCCTTTGGCTTGTCACCCCCAGTGGAGTGCAAATGAAGAGTGTTGACCCTACTATGGAGTCAGAGGAGAGAAAGGCAAAGCCAGTTTTTTTCCTCAGACAGGATGAATTCTTGAAGAAGGAAGGTGTGCTTGCAAACATCTGTTGCTTCTAAACCTTCCACCAGACTCAAAATTCCTCAAATCTGTTTCCTTCAACCTGTATCCAATAAAGAGCCAAAGCTATGTCATGCACTCTGAGAACCAAGAACCTACAAAAATATTGTAATTCTAATCTTTTCTACGGCCACTTTTAGGACACTGGTTTGGAAAATAAGATTTTTAAAATAGGAACAAACATTAATACTGAGGTTTAAAAATTCTGTATTAATATTAATAATCTTCAACATTAACATCACTATCTGGTCTTCCAAATAAAATAAAATTAAAAAGTCAATGCACACAAATGCATGACTGCTTGAAACGCTTGGCTCTAATCCAAAAGCTCTTGAAAACTTGAAGCAAAAGAGCCCAGGAAATATTCTGCCAAGGTTTGAGAAACTCAGTTAGGCCTCAGTAGAATCTAAATTTGCTCTCCTTGTCTAAGATTTTTCTTTAAATGATCACTAGGTTTTGAGTCAATTAATTCTCAGTCACAGCCAATATTCCACAGGCTGGGTGCTAAGTGCTGTAGGGGCTCCAAGTTGCTCTCTGCCATCGTGGACCCCAAAGTCTTACAGACCTTTTTTTTTTTAATGTGTGACAATCTGGGCAGATCACAAAATTGATGGGCATAGACCAAGATTAGGAGAGTAAGAAAAATGGCCCTACTTGGTCCCCCCCCCATCTGAGTAACTGGCACTGTGTCCTCTAATCTGTGCTCAGTGCATGCTGGGCAACCAATTAATCTCTCTGCAATGTGAAGTTCCACTCTCCAGAGAGGGCACAGTGAGGACCCCAGTCAGATTTGTCAGTCCCTTCCCCTGATTCCACCATTCTCAAATAACCATGACCTTGACATATTGCACAGAGATGACTTCCCAACTCATCAATTGTATGAGTTTCAAACCAACCCTAGCATAACACCATTTCATAATGAGTCCCATAAATGAATTTTTATTTTCTTTCAACTAAAAAAGGTATGAAGGAAGACACGGAGTGTTTTGTTTTTGTTTTTAGTGAAAGATGTTTCTTCTCTAAAGAGAAAAGAAGATATCCTTTATTAACTTTGGTTCCCTCCCCTCCAAAAAAACTCTACTTCTAGAAATACCCATTGATTTAGAAACTAACTCTTAAAAGAAATAAGAGATGCGGGTGGAAACACAGATCATATTTGAAAGTATAGAGAACAAACATCAAGTTCAGTTTCCAAGGCCAAAGTTATCTCAACCCCATGATTGTTCTGTTCCAGTTTGGGTCCACCTTTCAAAGTGGTACCATGTTTCCCAGGTATTAGCAAGGAGCTCAGCACATTTAGGGAGGATGCTTTCCTGGAATTGCTCTAGGTCCTAATTCTCAATGATACAGAGACAGAACATGAGGCAGGGAGAGAGTTTCTTTGTGAAATAATTTCTTGTCTGGAAGTCCCATCCTCACCTAGGAACTTTCAAAAATACATCAAGGAGAACTGTGCAGTCAGGGTTATTTACTTGTCATGGAAAAGCCACTGAGAAAAAGAGATGGCAAGGATGGGCCCTTGTTCCAAGTTCTCTTCTTCAGTGCACACAGCTGTGAGTAGCAAGAAACAACTTTTGGTGCCTTTACCAATGGGCATCTTGGTCTCTGTAAACCACACATGCTTGCCTATGAACGTGTGTGGCCTGTGTGTAACAGAGAGAGGCACCCTAGAGAGAGACATTGCCTTTGATCAGTTAGAGTTCAGTGATCAGCTCTGGACTAGAAATCAGAAATATGGCTTCTCTGTTTTCCCTCTTATAATACGGTCTCCAGGAAGTCCTTCACCTTGATGAGCCTTGGTCTCCTCATCCATACAGTGGAAGCAGTGAGATCTGTCCCAGTGAGGATCAGATGAAGTAATGCCCCTGAGAGCACTGTGTAAAATCATAAGGTAGAATACTATTATTTATGATGAGTAAGCAGGAAGGAATCCAGATGCCAATTATTTTGCTATCTTTTCACTAGGCTAGGTAATCGAGCCAGAGGGTGGTTGGGTAATATTTTCCCCACTTAGGTTCACAGCCAATGTGTAATCTATTATACGCAGGTATCTGAGTTCTATTATTTATAATATGTTCTATTATTTTTAATGTGCTCTATTATCTCTAATTCCCTTCTGAATCTCTAGGTAGTAAAACTAACAAACAGACAACCCCACCATATTGAGTAAAGGTTTTGACAAATTAACTGGGCCAGAAGGAATTTTTATCACCTGTTTGTAGATCTCACTGATTAGTGTCACTAATTTCTAAGGAAAGGGGCATTACTATGATTCCAATAGTCTATTCTGATGTGAACCTCTTTCCTTTTTGCATTTTTTTCACCTTATAAAATCTGCCCCAAATGTCCTGATGTAAGTACTAAAGAAGTTTTATGTTTGTTTGTTTGTCTGCATTAAGATATATTTGCTGAAGGTTTGGGATCCTAAAATTAGAATATTTAATAAGCAACTCCTGACATTTATCACCTCTTTAGGATTTATCACTCACCCAGTGACATTATCTTTCTTGAGCTAAATTAAAAGACAAATTCAAATCCTGCACGGTAGCCACCAAAAGCATATATTTGAAAAACAGGATTCAGCGTGCCATATTATGCATTATTTAATGGTATGCAAATTATAAGTCAGACAGTTAGGAAAACCACACTTCAGCATTAATAAACAGCAACACTACTACTACATTAATTATGATATTGCTACGATTTATTCCCAAGCTTTGCATTCTGATTCTCCTTGAAAATGTATGCCATCTGATAAGCAGAAAGCCATTCCCCTCCTATACCTCCTGCCCATTCCTCAACTCTGTTCCTCCTACCCACCCGATGGGCAGCTGCAGGAAACAGGTACAGAAATACAAAGTCATAAGCAGCTGCAGTCTTCTGAGCATTAAAAATTAAAGAACAAGCAAACACCACCTAAAGCTCCAACATTTATTGTGTCAATGTTAAGCACACTTTTTAAAAGACAACAGAGAATGTATAGAAACAAGGGGTGGGGGGGGGCTCATGCTCATTTCCACAATACGGGTAATTAGGTTGGCTGGTTTCAAAAGGGCTTGACATCGCTTGGGACAGCGATGGTCCGAGGGCCCTCTGTATGGGACTGATTCACTGTTCCAATGGGGGTCTGTTTTTTTGTTTTTACTTTTTATTAAAAAATATAAATAAAATGGCACTGCAGGCCCAGGCTGGAAGGACTCCGCAGGATTCTGTCTTCGCACAACGGCTTCTTGGAGGCTACTGTCAGAAAACATCACAAACTAGCAGGATGACAGACCACGCTGAACGTCGGCTGGGCGGTACGGGTCCACCCCGGCCCTGGGGACTTCAAATTTTCTCAGAACTTAAGGGCTCTCGAGCTTCCATCCGAAAACTGCCACACATCTTGAGCTCTCTGGGTACTACGCCGAATGGGGGTGTGTGAAGAACCTAGAAAGAGGTTGGAGACAGAGGAGGGGGGAAAAAAAAGTACAGGTGTGACTTGGCCCAGCGATTTTCTGTTCTCTCACTAGCTGTTCAAAATTATGACTTAAATCAACCACAGGTCGAGCCACTGGCATCTTAAGCATGGTCTCCAACGCCATCTCCCCTCCCCAGTTATCTGACCTCTGAGTGGCTTTCCCACGCCTCCCACCACCTCTTCCCCCAAAGGACCCAGACCCCCCCTACCCAGTGGTATGATAGCCCTACTAAACTCGGGACACACCTGGAAGGAAACACTTGCCCTTATGACTGAGAAAACTTAGTAGGAAAACAGTCCTTTGGTTGAGGACAGCAGGGGAGGGAGGGGGACAAGGGGGACATCTTCTTTAAAATAATAATAAAATTATAAAGAAACAAAAAAATCAAAATTGATGTAAAAGCAGCACAACGAAAACATGAAATGTCATCAAGTTCAACGTCAAAGCAGCCAACGATTTACAAGAGGCGAACAAATCTCTGAAGAGAAAACCAGAACCCAAAATAGTTGCTCTCAAATTGCACCCAAAACTGCCTGTAGTTTCTTTCAAACATGCAGTTTTTTCTTTTCCTTTTTTTTCCTTTTATTTTTAATTTTTTTAAATTGTTTTCCTTGTTTCTCAGGGGGGAAGGCAATGGTGAAGAAGGGAGTGGATATTTCCTCCGGGTTCCTCCCTTGCTGTGGACATTGACTTGAAGCAGCAGAACTGGGAGTCCAGATGTGCCGAGGAGGAGGGCTACCTCTGTGGCATTCCAGGCCTCGTTGCCATGGCGACCCGAAGCAGGGGCCTGGGGCCTCCTCTCCCCTGACTCAGCGCCGCAGGAGGCCTGGGGTCTGGGGCTCAGCTGCTCTCAGGCTTCCCCCCCTGAGCAGTGGAGACCTGAGCTGAGGGGCCTGCTGTGTCCAGGTGGGCTCTGGGGAATTCCATTCCCAGTCCAGCACTAGTCACTGTTGTTGAGGCCCCCTGAGCTGATATCCCAGTCAAACCCCTTTGTCTGACCTGCCACCAGTATTTAAAGCCCTAACAGACAAAGTATAGCATGGGCATGTACCACATTCAAGGTTATTTAAAAGCACAGCCCCCTAGGGATCTGGGGGCGCCGGTTTTAGAAGAAACTTTAGGGAAATTGCTTCATTGGCCTTTTCTGCTGCCTATATGAAAGACCTGAAAGATACATGTGCTTCCTTTACATAGTTTTTGCCATGTTACAGAAAGGAAAAACAGTATTTGGGTAGACCGTTGAGTTGTGTTCAGCCAAGTTTAGGTACTTAAGTACAGTGACCCATGTGAACTGTATTGCTCTGTTTTCCCAATGGGAAGGGAGGAATTAATCATATTCCATGATCATTGATGACACTGGGAACGAGAGAGAGAGAGAGAGAGAGAGAGAGAGAGAGAGAGAGAGAGAAACAGTCTTGTCCCCCTGCAGGCCGATTCCCTGGCCATGAGCTGGAGTAAATGGAACAGCAGGCTAATGGGGCACCAAGGCTCCAGCAAGCACAGATTCAACCACTCGGGTCTGCAGCGTGAGCTCCAGGAGCCCTGGAGCAAACGTACTCAACCCCAACTCTGTCTATGTAATGTCCATTTCTCTAAAAATGCGTTCGTTTATTTTCCATTGGAAAGACTGACGGACTGCAGGAGACACCAAGGAAAATTTGCTAAGTGGCTCATGCCTTTTAAAAGTTAACCTTCTTTTCAAAAACAATTTTCCAACAAGGTTGAAAGAACATGGCCCATCCCATCCTCATATGGGCAAAATTCCCACAATCTCTTTAAGGGAAGTTGTTTAAAAAAAAAATGAGATGGATGCATTCTTGAACACCCTAAGCCCAGAGACAAAGGAGTGACAGATTCACAGTAGAGAATGCAAATGCAAAGTTCCTAGAGTCACCAACAATCATGTTTGTGTGTGTGTGTTCGGGATGGGTGGGGGGTTTAAAAGCAGAAAACACTGTATTTCCTCCCTTACTCACTCTCTGAGTAAAGTGCTAGAAGCAGGATAGCATTAGTAAGGCTTCTCAACCCCTTTTTGGAATGGTCCCAAATAATCTTAGTACCTTCCTGAAAACTTTTAGCGTCTATGAATAACCAACCTCTTTTTCTTATTTCTCCAATTGAAATCATATCTAAATCAACCCCTCTCTCTGCCACTTCCTTTTGAATTCTCACTTCAAGTACTATGGTTATATACAATATGGACTTATTGCATACACAAAAAAATGGTATTTAAATAAACAGTTCTAGCCACAGAATGCTCTGGGAAAAACTCAAACCACTTCACACTTCCTGCCACAGCTGGTACACATGAAGACCCACGTTCACCCCACCTCTTAGCAACCTTTAAGACATGTTGGTTTCAGTCCTTTTGCAGGTCCTGAATAACGAGAGGATAGCAAACAGGCTCAGAAAGGAGGTAGTATATGCCCTGGAAGAGCTTTGGGGTTCAAATCTGTGAAAGAGTATTTGCTGTATTCCTATTTGTTAAGTTGCTCTCAAAATGAAGATAAAAAGAAACATCTTAAGCATCAGGATTTTGAGTACATAGGGAACATTTCATCAGCAAGCGCATCAATAGTTACAAAAAATTAACTGAGAATTTAGGGGAGATATTACCGTTCTTAGTATTTCTTCATTTTAAAAATATATTAGGAATTCATCTTACTGTGGGACTTTTTAAAATATTATTTTATACTATGATTTTTAAATTTTAGGACTCCAGATGCAAAATGCCACTTACAAGTTTTATTTTTTTGACTTAAGTTTTCATGCTCCTATTGTTCAGTAAGCTTCAGAAATAATATTTTATCAGAAGGCTTCAGTAAGTCATGAGAAGTAACCTGAAGAACCTGTCTCCCAATAAATTTATTTAACTTTGGGACCATGTAAATCAAGCATAATCTGTGATTTATCATCAGATGTTTGCACCCCTCCCCGTTCCCCATTTGATTTAAGAAATCTGAACATACACGTATACCGTATCCACCATTAATTCTGTCTGTCAGATGCAAAACCTAATTACACTAAGAGCATCATATACTGAGAAATTAAAATGAATATTGTATATAAAACCTACACAGCTGCACTCCAGAGCTCCTAATAAAAGAGCAATAGGGACACACGGAAGTTTTATGGCCATTTAATATGGTGGAACAGAAGTCAGCATGTCTAAAACCGGCATGGCACCAGGGAATATTTCTATCTGTCTCAAACAGCATTTTGGATTCCATTTTGGAGTAACCTAATCTAAAACACACACATCTTTTTTCAGTTCACTGACAAACACCAAGTTCTCCAAGGTACTCTGCCCCCATCCCATCTTAGCTCCTGTGCAATGTTCTCCAAAATCCTCTTAGTGGACTCTGATTCACACCCAAACTGGCTTTAAAAAAAACAAAAAACCTAGTTTCTCTATACTTTAAAAAGATAAAACTCTTCTTGCCTTAGATGAAAGGCATTACATGAAAAGACCACCTCAACTGGTACTAGGGCAAAGAACTGAGCAACAGAAAAAAAAAATGCTACCACAAGAAGACGACAGAACAGCTTTTGTTTTGGTTTTTACAAAAATAAGAACAATGTCGGATCCATTCATCTACACTGGGAACAGGGACACAGTATCACAGAGGCATGTGTTGTAATAAAGCAAATTGATGCTGCGACATGCAGTATTTGTAAAACCGACAACACAGATTGGTAAGAAGAGATTTTAAAAAATAGGCCTAACTTGCTTTTCAAAGGCATTGCATAAATCTGTTGGTTGGTCGAAAGATAACTGAAGGGTATTCCCACTCTCACTTGCTGCCAGCCAGGTAGACCCTAGGAAAACATGGAAACGATCTGTCGCACGTAAGGTCTGTGGGGTCTCAGAACCACAAAGCAAGCCACCCTCATCTCTAGAAAGCAGGGTCTGATTCCAGAATGTTGGCTCTGTCTGGCTACCCCTGGTCGCTACTTTCTGCTCATTTTTCTCCTCCCTCCTTTTTTGGTTTGTTTGCTTGTTTGTTTAGTTGATGCCTTTGTCTCTGGATTTTTAGGTCTGAGGGCTGGGGTCGTTCTTGTTATGAGGAATGACTATTAGGTAGAAACTAAAGAGCTGATTTCTTTTTAAAAAACCTTTTTTACATCACATTCTAAGATAGGACAATGATGGGAGAATAGAAAAGAACTTTTAGACAACAAGAACAGCAAAAAATCCAAAGGAAATAAAAGTTGAAGATGCTATTACCAGCAAGTTTTTCACTTAATAAGCTGAATGGATTTCTGCTAAGAGATGGAACAAAAGTTTTTAACATCAGACTGAAAACACCTTCAGTTTCTTGAAAATTATTCTAAAATTGTAAAGCCTAATAACTATATCCATGGTTTGAGATGTCTATTTTAATATAGTAAGTAAGTTCCTTTAGGGTATAAGACACGCATCAAAATGCCCAGAGAAATAATCTTGAAAAAGACTGACTGGCCTTCTCTTAAAACCTGTTATTTTCTTGAAGTAATTTACAGAGTGTGTCAAATGAGGACACAAGAAGCTTACATTGTGTACTTTAATTTTTTTTTTATTTTTTTTCAATAAAGGGACAAAATGGGTGTATGAACAGGTTAATGCAGACAACTGCCAAAAAAACACAGACAGTGGTTTTTCCAATAGAACTTAACAAAGACCAGAAACAAATACAATAAAAAGCCAGGTTGTAATGACCTTTGGTCATCCAAATAAAAAAAATAAAAACAAAGAAAAATAAAAGATCAAATTAAGTGCCTCTGTTTTGAACAGGGCACATAAGCAATAATAAATAGTGACTCCCATAGTAAAAGATAAAATTTCAAGTTACGACAAACAGCTTTCATTACAGGAATAGAAAAGGCCAATAACAAAATATTCTGCATTGCCATTTACAAAAAAGTATTGACTAAAGCGGGCTTTCTCTTTAATATGCTTTGCATATGAAATTCTTTCCAATCTAAATATAAAGCACCATTTAGTTTTTGGCAATGAAAAAAACTGCAAAACATTGGTTTTTTTTTTTCCTTTTTTTTTTTTCTTTCTTTCTTTTACTGCATATGAAGGTAAGATGCTGGAATGTAGGGTGATAGAAGGAAAGGGACAAAAAGCACACTACATAACAAACCAACGTTATTAGCTTGCAGTACTGCATACAGTATGGCAGCAGGAAAAAGGAACAAAAAGGATATGTACAACCCCTATGACAGCCATCTGTGTGACATTCTAGCAGGCTCCCCCAAACCGCCATTATATGGCTTCTCATCTGTACAATGTCACACTTTTTTGTTTCTCTTTTTTTTTTTGAAGCATACAAATAATTTGTACTATATTATCCTGCCAAATTAAAAAAATATACTGTGGCAGCCTGTCTTTTTTTTTCCACTACCAAAAAAGGTACATTGATACCTTTTAAGAGAACAAGCAACAGTTAAAAATACAAGCTTCAATATAAATACTATAGTGCCTAACACTAGATGAACATTTAATTCAAATACCATTCTAGAAATACAGAAAAAAGACCATAAATGTGTTTTAGCATAGGAATCAACATGAGTGTGCATTTTCCTATATTTAAGTACTATATAATCTTAAACCTTTCCCCAATGTATGTTTTTTTTTTTACAACCTGAAGAGCGGTGTGTAATCCAAGGCATAGAATTTCCACTACCATTTTTAAATGGATAACAAGTCTTGTAACACCACCAAGACAATGGAACCCTAAAATGCAGTTCCCCCCTAAACATAATGAAGTGTTTTTTTAAAAAATTTTTTTCTTAACATTTATATTTAAAAAAGTTTTGTACAAAAAAATCCTTGCACTGTAGAAGCGAAAGCAATCATTCATTTCTATGTTAAGTGTATTCTGTTTCCATTCACAGCGCTCGCAATGTTGCGTCCAAGTAAGTAAGCTCATTAGTCAAGTAAATGGCTGGCAAAGTTTTTTAGTTTTTTTTCTTTTTTTTTAAATGCTCATCAATGAGATTGTGTTCAATTTTTTTTTCAGCATTCTTGCAACTTTTCCCTTAAGTATAGACCTGTAAACTGGGAAAATTGTACAGTGCACTTAATTGTCCTATCTGAGCAGATTTATTTTATACTCAACCTCTGTATCTCTGATTAGAGAAAAGATACAGGTATCACAGGCAGAGTCAAGTGCTATTTGAACACCAACTGGGGCAGATGCTAGCTTAATAAAAAAGAAAAACTTAAAAAAATAAAAAAATAAAAACAATGAATCCTCTTCCATGTTAACACAAATAGCACACAGTGTATGGAAAAGAAATGAAGTACAACTTTTAGGGAGCACAGACATATATACTGCTACTCTTAAAATTCTTTCTCTTCTTTTTTTTTTAAGAATGTCACATTTTAACGCAAGTCTTTAAGAATTCATAGTTAATCATCATTGTATCAATATTAGCTTATATACCTGTTCTAGTTTAAAATGGCAAATAGTACCATGTTGTGCTAATAAATCACTTCTTTTTTTTCCTCTGTTCCCCTCTGTCAAACCTCATTGTCAGCCTCTTCTTTTTTTAACATAGTATACTAGGTTTTAAGTTTATCATGTGATTGTCCATTTGACAACCAAGTGGATCTGGATCTATTTCTTTTAGTGCCAGAATTTTTAAAAGATATTATTTCAAACAAGTATCTTCACAAAATGAACTCCTTACTAATGTATTTAATCACGTTCCGGGGCTTTTGCATGTTACACATTCAATTTAATCATTGTTTAAAAAAAATAAAACTTTGGGCAAAGCAGCCCATTTCTTTTAAGCTCTCACCAGGAGCAAAGTAGCTTTTATACTGGTATAATCAGTTTTTGTTCACAAAAGTTAAACTAAAGGGAAAATGATGATTAACTAGGACATAATGGGTTATATTTTTAGGTAGCCATTGTTGTGAGAAATATGCTAGGTCCTAGGGTTCATTACCTCACCCAACACTGAATTAAGCTACAAGTTTATAACAAGTAAAAAGAACCATCAATGTGGTTTTAATAGATCCAAGGCACTCATATTTTAAAACCAAATGATAGAATAAACTTGTTCTGTTTTCTGTTAATTTGTCAATTCAAGGCCTTTCTTTCTCTTTCCTCTCCAATTGATTCATTTAACCCTTTAGAGACAGACATTTAGCTGATAGGTTTTTTTTTTTCAGTGCCATCTATTCTGTCTATAGAGGGTTAATCCAAAAGACTTTTTTTCCTTCTCACGTTATAAAATAAAACTGTACATGATATGTATTACAGAATGTATGCAGCATGGTCTTTCTCTCTCTCTCTCTCTCTCTCTCTCTCTCTCTCTCTTTCTCAGAACGGAACTGGAAACAGCAACATGTTTGCTCAGCAACGAATTAGGGACAATTTAAAATAGCCATAACATACCATACATGCTGTCTAAGTTTAAAAAAAAAACATACACAACATGTAAATTATTGCACAAGAGAAAGGCTCAAAGTTTGCGTAAAATGCAATAGTATTGCCCCATACAGATCATGCATTCAAACGGTGAGAACATAAAGAAAAAAAAAAAAAAGAAAAAGAAAAAGGAAAAGAAAAAAAAACAGGTGTGCTGGTGACAAGCACTCTCATATTCTTAGCTTCCGTTACTTTTGTTTATTATTTGTTTGTTTGTTTAAATCACATGGGACTAGAAAAAATCCTACAGGGACTGGGGCTGGAGGACTATGGGGTAGGGGGGGATGGTGAAAAAAGGAGGTGTCGGGTGGGAGTGAGGGAGGAGTATTAATATACCTCTATTCAGTTTTTATATCATTATTCAACACTCGATCACTGTGCCATTTTTTCATGTGTTTCTCCAGGGTACTGTACACGCTAAAAGGCATCTTACAAATTTCACATTTGTAAACGTCCTTCCCCACCTGGCCATGCGTTTTCATGTGCCTGGTGAGCTTGCTACTCTGGGCACAGGCATAGTTGCACAGCTCGCATTTATAAGGCCTTTCGCCCGTGTGGCTTCTCCTGTGGACAGTGAGATTGCTACAGTTCTTGAAGACTTTCCCACAGTACTCACAAGTGTCGCTGCGTCTGCCCTCTTTTGAGCTGGGCCTGCCCGGGCCCGGACCACTAATATGGGGCGTGCTCCCTCCACTTCCCGTGCCGCTGCGCCCCGAGATCCCTCCGTCCAGCTCCCCGGGGGGCGTGGAGAAGCGCAAGCTCCCGTTCTCCGAGGAGTGCTCCGATGAGGAGGCAAAAGGCGATTGTCTGGAGTCTCCGAAGCTAAGGAAGGGATCTTTGAGCTGCCTGGAGGCCGCGTAGCCGGCTAGCCACTGCGAGTACACGTTCTCTGTGTTGGGCATCGCGGCGGGGGGCAGGTCGAACTCCTTCTCGAGCTTGATGCGCTTGGAGAAGGGGCTCAGCGAGCTGGGGCTGCCCAGCAGCAGCTTTTTGGACAGGCCCCCCGAGGCCGACTCGCCCGGGGAGCAGCCACGGCCGTTAACAGTGCCATCGTCTATGCGGTCCGACTCGCCGGCCACCGAGTCTTCATCGCAAGTGTCCCTGTGGCCCTCAGCCTCGGCCAGGTGGCCGCGCTTATGCTTCTCGCCCAGGACCTGGTGGAAGGCCTCGCTGAAGTGCTGCATGGAGCTGAGCACCATGCCCTGCATGACATCTGGCAGGGCGCGGCCCTCGTCGCCCACTCCCACCACCGCGCCCCGCGAGCTGTTCTCGTGGTGGCGCGCCGCCTCCAGGCTCAGCCCGAAGCCGTAGTCCACCCTCTCGCTCTCCGTCAGCTCCTCCTCCTCCTCTTCCTCCTCTTCCTCTTCTTCCTCATCGTCCTCCTCTTCCTCCTCGTCCCCATTCTCTGGGATCAGGTTGGGGTCATTCTCGCTCTTGAACTTGGCCACCACGGACTTGAGCGCGCTGCTGGCGCTGCCCACCAGGTCGCTGGTGCCGGGTTCCGGGGAGCTGGCGGTAGAGAGGCCGTCGTCAGACTTGACCGTCATTGGGGATGACTTGTGCATGTGCGTCTTCATGTGGCGCTTCAGCTTGCTGGCCTGTGTGCAGGCATGGTCGCACAGGTTGCATTTGTAGGGCTTCTCGCCCGTGTGGCTGCGCCGGTGCACCACCAGGTTGCTCTGAAATTTGAACGTCTTGCCGCAGAACTCGCATGACTTGGACTTGACCGGGGGCTGGGAGGGAGGAGGGGCGGATTGCAGAGGAGGGAGGGGGGGCGTCGCCAGGAAGGGCGGCTTGCTACCTGGCTGGAATGGTTGCAGTAACCTTTGCATAGGGCTGGGCCGGCCTGGGGACAGCGGTGGGCTAGACGTGTTCCCTGCCAGCTCTCTAAGTCTCCTAGAGAAATCCATGGCGGGAGGCTCCATAGCCATTGGATTCAACCGCAGCACCCTGTCAAAGGCACTCGGGTGATGGGTGGCCAGGGCCATCTCTTCCGCCCCCAGGCGCTCTATGCGGTGGGGGTCCAAGTGATGTCTCGGTGGTGGACTAAACAGGGGGGGAGTGGGTGGAAAGCGCCCTTCGGCCAGGCCGGAAGCCTCTCTGGATACTGATCCTGGTATTCTTAGCAGGTTAAAGGGGTTATTGTCTGCAATATGAATCCCATGGAGAGGTGGCTGGGAAGGACATTCTGCACCTAGTCCTGAAGGGATACCAACCCGCGGGGTCAGGGGACTTCCGTGTTCGCTTTCTAAGTAGATTCTTAATCCATGAGTGTTCTGTGCGTGTTGCAAGAGAAACCATGCACTGGTGAATGGCTGTTTGCAAGTTGTACATGTGTAGCTGCTGGGCTCATCTTTACCTGCAAAATAATACAACAGCAACATCAATGTTTAATCACCGAGGCGGCATCAGCAATTGCTTACTCATGTTCCACCCTCAGTTTTCCCTGCCGGCCCCTCTACCCCAATGCCTAAGCCCTCACAGACCTACCCCTGTGCCTACACGGTGCCTGGCCCATCTGGTGGTTGATGCCCAATAAATATATATGAGTCAGTCTTCCTGTCATTAAACTCTGTTCTAAGAATTCTGTATCCACACCCCAAAGCAGAAAAATTCCAACCAATTCAAGCTTGAGAATGAGGGTCCCTGTATTCTAGGGATCTTGGCAAATGTCTTATGAACCTTCCAACCTCGTAAGCTGTGGTTGGGGGCAAACCATTTCATCTCTTTGTGCCTCTGTTTCCTCATCTGTTAAGAGGGACTCGGACAAGGTGACCTGAGGAAAGTTGTTTTGCTTCCCAAATCCTATGATCTTAGTCTATTCTCCTCTGAGTGGCAGGTGAATTTTCTAAATAGGCAATCATTCCATCTAGATGCCAAAAAGGAAGAAGAAGGTAAACTAACCATCTCTGTAGCCTTACTGAGGCTTAACTTGAAATATACTAATTGTTGACATTGTAAAAATGAGAAGGGACTCAAAAAATTCTTCCACAGAACAAAGACTAGCAACATTCTCCCATCCCAGCCTATGTGCCCATGGGTGAGTTCTAATCTGGATTCTATTCATAATCCCCCAAAGGGGACACCCATTTTTTAATCTCAAGGAATGTCATGAAAATCTCAAAAGAAAAATTTAATTCAGATTTAACTGAAAGGCTGCACGAGATGCTTAGGAGTTGTCCCCCAGTGCAGCAAATGCAAGTCTGAAGAAGAGTTAGGAGGAGTGGCTGGTGCCAACTTCAGCAGACACAGCATCCTGGTTGAAGGAACAGTTAAGGCCGCCAACACCATGACAGGCAGCAGGCTGAGCAATGCTACACTAGCCTCCTCCTCATTATTTTGAGAGGCTAACAACGTGAACCAAATTATACAACATCCTGCGCCCTCGGCTGAGACTCGGCTCCAGTTGAGAAAGAAACAGAAAGATACAGTTCAGCTAGTCAACTCTTTGGCCAGTAGCCAAGCCGTCTGGAGAGGGGCCCTGCTTAAGTCACATTATTTCTCTCTTGCTGAAAAGAACCCGAGAGTGGTAAATGCCACTTTGGCAAAGAGGGGGCCAGCTTGACTTCACGAAATCATTCATTTTGGGAGATAGCTAAATTAAAATGTACATGTATGTGTTTTATATATATATATATATACATGCATATATATGTATATATATATATATACACATATATATATATATATACGCATACATATATGGAGTAACTAACCAACAGTTTACCAGTCAACTGTAGCCTTAAAAAGGGCACAAGTGATGGTGGCCTAAGGATAAGGATAAGAATAATGGATAATGTCCTAGGGATTCTGAAAAAAGACAGAGCTTAAAATATAACTGAGAAATAAACTTTCTCCCTCTTTTAAAAGAGGGGCTAGCAGAGTTCCTTCAGCCCACAGCTAGCATTTGTCAGTAACTTTTTTAAAAGGACAGAATTCACCAGGGAGCTAAAGAGTGGGAATGAGGAATTCATCAATTATATGATTCCTCCATTTAGCAAGTCAGAATGAAAAGCTGGCAGGGTCTTCTTAGGAGCCCCAAACACTCATATTCCAAAACAAGCCAGCCTTGCTCAAGCACTTGTCTAAATAATGGACTCCTGCCCTGACCTTGTAATTTACTTTACAATGCATTTATAATCTCACTCAATATATCCCACTCCTGGGTAAATCTCTTTAACAAGATTAGATGGTAAGATACCAAAATTAGGTTTCAAACATTTGTCTAATGTGGAAGGGGGGGGAGAGGGAGGCAGAAAGATTTTGAAAGAAAACGCTGACATTAGTATCACATTATCTGCCTATTTTTGTTTGCCTCTTTTCTTCAAAGGGAAATAAAAAGCTTCATTGAGAGTATTTTCATAAATTTTTTGTTGTTGTTGAACAATGACTTGGGTCCCAAATAGACAGGGTCAAAACTATCTGGTTCCAAGTACTGTGACCCTCTGTGGCCTTCTCCTTTGCCCCCCTAGGACTTTGGGTTATTATTATACATTTAGCCTGACAATCAGAATTGGGGACATAAAAAGGAAACTTGTCAGCTAAAGCCAGCCCTTCACACTTTCACCACTTCAAGATGCCTTAAAATCATATTTTACCCTTATAATCTTCTCCTGAAACCCAGGACTGGACCCATAATTAGTGATGCTGGTTTCGTATGTGCCATGATGTTGCCACTGATAAATGCCGAGAGCTGTGGCATACGGCACTACGTCAAGAAGCTCATTTGTATCCTCTCCAAGAGGCTTCAACAAGAAAAGTCCATTTTATTTTGCTGTCCTGTGCTTCTTAAAATTTTTTTCAGAGCCAGTTATGTGATTATGTTACAGTATGTTAACACTATGATGCTATCCCTCCCCCTTTCATACATCAGGTCAGAGAAAATGGCATTTTATCTCATAATGAGGATACAACATAGAGTTTTCACTATTGCATTTTAGTATTCCCAACAACTAGATATTCTAGATCATGAGGGCAGCTAGTGTAATCATAATGTCAATGAGAAGGGCTGTTACGATTGAGACTAAAGATTACACGGAAAGAGCTGCTTTGAAACTGGTAATTATTACCAGTCCACTAATAGCAAATGATGCATTACAATTTCACCATATAATCTGTATTTCACTCAGCTCATGCCGGTGCCCCATATTATATTACAGTGCTCACAGATTCTAAATTCCTAAACTGCAGTCATCAATAAATGTGTTACTTGCCATAATTTGTGAAATTACTTTGTTCATAACATCTTTGATGGTTTAGAAAGACCAGAATTGATTTCCTGCGTGGCAAAATTAGGGCTACATTGATTTATTGACGTGTAAAATATAATAATATTCTTCATTTACTCTGATGAAAATCAACTTCTCGATTTGAGAGCCTCATTGGGCATTCACTGGGATTGTTTTGATTTGAAGCAATAAAGTGAGACCTGGCCCCCAAGCATAAGAACTCAAGGCATTGAAAGGGTTAAAGGCAGCTGTTAGCCCACCTCCTGGTTTTATTTTATTTTACGGGAAGGAATGACCCCCATTTCTAGTGGGTCACCAATACAAAAAAAGTCATGTGACTTAAGCCTCAAAATTTGGAAGAACGAGAAGGTCCGAAGTGGGACCTCTGGTTCTGTTATTTACTAGCTTGCGACTCTGGGACTGTCATTCAATTTCTCTGAGCCTTAGGACTCCTATCTGTAAAATGAGCATAGAAACAGTGCCTTTAAAGAACTGTTGTGAGGTTCAAATGACAGAACCATCTAAAAACCCTCTGTAAACCATCAGGTCCAACATGCAAGTGAGTTTTCATTCCTACCGGGTGTGATTAATCACTGAGGGTAATGACTAACTGCATTACATGTCCAGTACACTTGCAGAAGAAGGTCCCAGGGCAGGCCTACCCCAGGCTCTGGTTAGAGGGTCAGGCGGGGACAACTGTAAGTCACTCTTCCACTTTCACAACTGTGGGGGCCACAAAGCTGTGGGCTCTAAAAGCCAAGGGCAGCTGCTCAAAGCAGAATGGGGTGGGTATCAGCTTTGCCCTAGAACCCTCTGGAACCCCACAACCCATTTCCACATACCTTGTCTGCTCACTCCTAAACTGGTCCTGCCAGCCTGGGCATTGTCAAACTAAGGACCCTCCCTTTGTGGGTAGCGGGGAAAGGACAGGGGTTCTATATCAGGCTCCCACTTTCCCACTCATCAGATCACACTCCCAATCCTCAGAAGACCAAGCTGAAGACAGAATAATAAACTGTTTCCCCAGCTAGCAGCCCTTGGCCTCTTAACTCCACCCTCCTCTCCATCTCCCCACTCCCTCGTTTCCCTTCCCTCGGAGGATGGCTCTGTTCCCACAGCCAAGTGCAGGCCCCAGGCACCCCCAGTAAAAGAAGTAGAGTTCTTCCCACCCAGCCAACATGTAGGGACTTGAAACCAGGAGTCCAACCCCTTAAACTCTCTGCAGTGTGTGACCTAACCCAGGCTAAGGCCCAGCTTGCAGGGAGGGCAGATGAGGTGCTGTTAACCCAGGCACCACCCAACCCTCAGGACCCAAGGGCTTCTGAAATTCCTATAATAACTCTTTGTTGCCTGGGATTACCTCGAGTTAACAAAAATAAACAACTGGCTTTGAATTTGGTCTCAGGGTGCATGCCCTGCCCTGCAGACACCATTCACAAGATGGGTAAGTCTAATTTCCCTCCTGCAGGAAAAACAGTTTCCTTTCTAGCCTTTACGAATATATCTTACTCTCTGTTACTCCCTTTCTATGATCCTTCCTTTTTTCCTTCCCATAGCAGGTTATTAATTTTTTTTCATGTACTTGCAAAATAAAAATTAGATGTCACACTTCTTTATTTCCTTGAATCTGCTTTTTTGGGAGGTGAGGGGTGAAATAAACCCCTCCCCCCAACATTCTAACCATGCATAATTCACACCACGTTTCTACATAAGATAGGCAAACTGTATTACCTTATAAAATAACGTTCAAAAAACATTTTCATAAATGAACACTAAATTTCAAAGGTCCCCACTATAAAAGTTAACTTAAACAAGTAAATTGGGCAATGGTGGTAGTGGTGATGGTGGTAGTGGAATCTACATTTTAACTACAGTGCTTGCATTTTCTTCTAAAACTAGAAGAAAAATAAGCAGAAATTATGTGTATGCATATATGTGCACATATATAAAATACTATATATATATATATATATATCATGTTCAAATACACAAGTAAAAGCATAAATAACATGAGTTAGAATAACTCAGAAGTAACTCTAAACTGATGCCTTGTGATTCTGGCCTCTGCTAAAGGGTATGCCATGGAATAAATTCAAAGTTCTCCATGAGGCCATGGGAATGAATGTTTAGCAATAAAATGGGCCCTGAACTCATGAGGTATCTAGCCACCAGCCATGGAGCCAGGAAAAACCCTAGGGAAAAGACTCTCAGAGACGAGAGGAGTGGGGGTATGGGTGCCAAGTGAGTAATGGAATAATATGTATGTGGGTGCCAATCTGTTTTAGATGTAACTCTGGTACTTAAAAAAGTAAAGGTGTAATTTCTAGAAACTCTCATCTCTATACACATAGACATTTATATAAGAAATAATGCTCAACTTACAAATACCCTGCGGGGCATATTCTGCACTCATCCCAGGCGTGGGGATTAGAGCTCCATGTGCAGAACGAGGGGAGGACAGGCCCCTCCAGTGCAGAAGTTTATCTGTGAAAGAAACCCAAAATCAAGCACTGCAGCCATAAACAATGTGCATCGTAAACCACAGGATATCACATTTCAATTCCATTAAAATAGATTAACATCATTACAACAGCCTTGCAGATAGTTAATAGGCCCAAGGCCTGAAACTAAAGAAAAGTGGTGAGTTGTTTCCCACCGTTTTTGTTTTGTTTTTTAATTTTGTACTTTTTGGACAAAAGGGAAAGGGTTTGTTTTAGGTATGGGGGTGGTTCTTAGGTTCAGTTGCTTGATTATTTGTTGTTATTTGTTTATTATTGCTATATAAATAGCAAGGAGAAAATTCATAATGTTACATATTTATGGCTGGAAAAAGGGAATTTATCTGCAAGGCTGGTTTACATGCATACATTGACTTGACTTTATAGATAAGCCCAAGCAAAAACCAAGATGCTAATAGGAAATGAGTGGGTTCATGAACCACTTTTATGGGATACTTTCACTCTACCTTCCCCATCCCACATCCCCCTCCCCATGCTGTATTTACAATAGGACCTTCAGTGATGGGGAAGCCTCAGGCATTTCTGGACTTGGTTGGGCCACACTCTAAAATTCTATCAATGGGGTACCCTGTTGGCATGACTTCTCATCATGCAAAGCAGTGGAGAATGAAGATTAGACTTCTGGGACTAAAATAACTTTGGCTGGATCCCCACCTTGAAGGTGCTGGATCTTATCATTAAATGACAAGGAAAGAACCAGCATCCAATAATAGCAACATCCAGAAACTAGGGCCCACTTTCCCCATTCAACTGCATACCTGGTGGGGAAAAAAAAGGTAATTTTTCACACTAATAAACATAAATCTAGCAGTCAACCAAGCATTCCTAATGCTGATGTTTGTAAGAAAGGAAATTTGGTTTATGCAACCTGGGAATTATCTGGCTTCTGTGGCAAGTGTCCAGGTTTTCCAAATCTACCTTCAGCTAACTAATGATGTAGATATCCACCTTGAGACAGAGTGGAAGATAGATGGAGTAAGAGACGCTCCTCTAGAGGTTTGGAGTTTGTGTTGACTAGGGAAGGCAGGAGAGAAGAAAAACAAACTTTGAATGTGAGCAAACAGAGTATGTTTTGTATTAGCTTAATAATAAGAACACTTAAAATTGTTTGGGGGTATACTCTGGGATAGCAGATCCCAAGAGTGAAATATGTTCTATTCTCTTTGTGTTGACCACATGGACAAATGCAGCCAGGGCAATTGGGACAAGGTTTCCTTTCATGGGGAACTTAATGTGTGGCTTGAGAAAGCTCTTACACAGATGGCATAAATCCATTGTCAGCAGGGTTCCAAAGGGAGGCCATCTAGGAGACGCCATCTAGCCTGAGACCATCTATGGAGACTTATCCTCCTCTCTAACCCAACACAAAATATAAACCACAAAATGAACCAACAAAAGTGGGAAGTCTGGACTTAGGAAAAACGTACGCCTAAACTTCCTTCCTTATGTTAAATGAATCAAGAGTTCACGATAAAATTTAGTCCTATCAATTTGCAAGAAAAACTTGAGATTCCATTTTTTTTCTTTTTTTGCACCTGTTCTTGCCTCAGCAAGTTTGTTGCAAAGACTAGAATCCTTTTCCTAGGAAACCCACACTACCTAGATATCTGTAACCCCAAGACAAAAGCCACAAGATCTTTGGACCCTCGAATGGGGAGAGAGTCTAATTTCAAATTCCCTGCCACTTATTCCAGAAAAAAAAAATGGGAGAATTGTTAGCCCATTCCCGGCTAGCCACTAGCACGTCTCTGGTTGGCTTGTCTCCTAACCCATTCCCACTAAATAAGCTGAGCCCAGAGCAGCAGCTCAGATCAAGGGGTTGAAGGGACATCTCATGAACTAGATTATCTGGCATCATGGTTTGTTTGGGGTTTTAGATTAAAAAAAATACCTTTATTTTATTTGTCTATTTATTTTAATGTGGTGCCAGGGATCGAACCCAGTGCCTCATGCATATTAGGCAAGCACTCTACCACTGAAGCACAACCCTGGCCCATAGGGGTTTTAGTTTTTGAATAGTAAAAAAAAAAAATATTAGCAATTGCAAAGTCTGTGTTTCCATTTTATAGATGGGGGAACTGAGGCCTTGAGAAATTAAGTAACTTACTTGCCCATTGCATGGTCTTCAATGCCTAGAAACACCCACAAAGAGGGCTCTCCCGCACTGGGCAGCACTTAACAAACTCATGGGGGCAGCACTTAACAGCCCACAGGTATGAGGAGAGGGGCTTTCAAAAGGTCCCAATGAGCTGACTTGGTTTTACAACTGGCAAATACTGTCTGCTCTGAGCCTCTACCTCTGTTCACCCTCTACCTCTGTTCCCCTGAGAACTAGCCAGCTGAAGAGATACAAAGCATTGCTACCAGCCTAACACACTATTCACTTTAGAATGCGGCATGCTGTCTTTGTGCCAGAGACTTGGCCTTGCATTTCTCTTCCTCCAGGAAGAGGGTCAAAGCAGAGCCAACTGGGAACCCAGCTGATTTTGCTGCTTCTTCCACTAAACACGTCCATAATATTCTCTTTGGTAAGGAGAATTGACATTCCCACAAGAACTGGAAATGCTCAATTGTTAATAGCTTCCCTAGGGTTTAACTTCTTGCCTATGATGCCTTCAATTATTTCATCACAGCTTAGGCAAAGTAAAGTATCACAATTAATGCTTCTGAGCATCAAACCCAACAAGCAGCTCTGCCTTCCCTCGTTGAGAGGGAGAAAGAGCTGTGCTGATGGAAGGCTGCTTCTCTTCCCACCCTCCCTTCCATTCTCCCCAGGCAGAGATGGGCTCCACTGCCAGCTGAGAAGGGGCGTGGTCTAGCTCTGCCCTCTATTTCTTTGTTGGCACACTCAGGGAAGCGATTCTCAATGCACAGAGTAGACCCAGCATCAGCACCACCCAGAAGCATGTTGGAAACACGAATTCTTAGGCCTCACCTGTGACTTACTGGATCACAAACTGCAGGAGGGTGAGGAAGCAGCAATCTGTGTTAAACAAGCCCTCCAGGTGACTCTGATGAGAGCCGTCAAGGTTAATAAGTCACATCTTAGATAAGGAGAGGTAAGGATCTGGGAGCTTTGATGTTCCCTGGGCAGAGATTCATGGGCCATGAGGTTGTCCTCCCCCTTCCACCAGGACCCACCTCCTTTAGGACAGGAAGAATAAAAATCAGGGTATCCCTAAGGGTCTCTCCATGTGGAATTAAGAGGTTCCACTCTCTATCCCTGGGTCATTGTCGAGAACCAGGAATAGATCCAGTCTCTTCGTTAAGTAGTGCATCCTCTTAGTATAAGAAAATACCCAATGTAAGGTAGATGGCATCCTCACTACTGCATAAAAATTGAAATGTTTGGGCTGGGGCTATGGCTCAGTGGGAGAACACTTGCCTAGCATGTGTGAGGCCCTGGGTTTGATCCCCAGCATTGTTTTTAAAAAATCAAAGCTGAAATATTTGAACATGCTGCATGGACAGAGCAAGAACAGGAGTCCTGTCATCTTTCCAGACTCTAGACAAGCTACCTTCTTTGGAATCAGTCTCCTCCTGAGCTTTGGGTTCCCCTGATAGAAGGTGTGTCAGCATGTTCTGTTTCATAAAGGTCTCTCTAGACCCATTCCACTTGGGTCTCAGAAATGCCTTTTGCATTATTAAATTGCAAAGTTCCCTCCTGGCTGAATAAAATGTAATGAAGCTTATTTGTATTTCATTAAAAATCTGCAACAAATCAGGTATGGTTTTGATTTCACGTTACACATTGGTCACTTTACATTTCTAACCTAATTTGGGTACCAACTTTTGACATAGTGGGATATCCCAGGAATTTAAGGTCATTAAATCAAGTTTTGGGGTTCCACCAGAATATCTTAGAGATTCTTCGACTATAACTTGCTGTTTGTTTCTGCAACTAATCATTGGGTGTGTAATATAACCACTTTAATGACTAATAATTGACAAGTAGTATTCTGATCTCCAAGTATGCAAAGCAGCTAAGATCAAAGCATCATTTCCAGCGCACTTAACGACTGCTTCAGGAGCCCAACTTCTATCAGGTATGAAAGGCCAGATCTAGGGACTAGGGATGTGGTTCAGAGGTAGAATGCTTCCCTAGCATGTGTGAGGCCCTGGTTTAATCCCCAGCACTACAACAAGGGAGAGGAATATCATTCAATCCCAAGCCTCTCCACAAGAATACCCAGACATATGCTCTTCATTGAAATGTGTGTGTATATATTTATTTTCTTAAACATGCGTTTTTAGATATATGTGTCCTCAAGTGGAAAAAAAATATATCTTGCAAACTCTCTTTCACCTTAGGTCCTTGAGAGGAGAATGAAAGACAACCCATCAAGACCAGAAAGGATCTCTATATTGGGGACAAGCCAAAATAAAGGACTTGTACGTCCCTTTCAGCTCCAGGATTCTCAAGTCCCCCCATCCTCCCAATAGCCACCTTCTAGGCCACACTTTAAGTGCACACTACATGCTTGTAAAGTTCTCTGAAAAAATCAGTTCCAGTTCTCAAACCAATTGCTGGATTCCAGCCACAAAAACAACAGACAAGTGTAGCTTGTCTGGGCTAGAAGTTGCTTTATCTAACAGGAGAGTAAATCCCCCGAAATGTCCTTTCTGGTCAGCTGCTTCTACCTCTTGACCCTGCAGACTACCTTAACTACCAGCTCTTCTCTGAGGTCCTCTGACCAAGAGTATTCTAGAGTAAACACTGGCCATGCCTGTGTCTGGAGTTGTGTCAATCTGGACGGAAAATGTGCCAGCTTTATCACTGCTAACAGAATTCCTAATTAACCTTCTGATAGTGTCAAAATCACAGTCCCTTTTGTTCTAGAAATGAGCATTTACATGATCATTTTTTTTTCCTTCATAGCATCTCTCTCTCTCTCTCTCTCTCTCTCTCTCTACTGGCTACTGTTTCCCCACATCAAAATGCTTTTTAAAAAGTATATTCTACAA